AAAAAAAAACCAAACACAACAACAACAAAAATGCCCCACAAATTAAACTAAGATAGCAGTCACCTAACAAATAAATAAATATATTTGAGATACTAGTTTATTCTGCCATGAAACATGAGGGAGAACTTTTGAAGACATTAACAGAACTGTGTAATTACTTCAAATCAAAATAAAATAAATAAAAGCCAAAGAGGAAAATCCTCATTGCCAGTAAACGGGTTGTCTTGTAAACTAGAAGATTCACCAGTTTGACAGCAAAATCTAAGTTAATCTGAAACTACATTTACACAGCTCTGGCAAGCAGCCTATAACTAACAATGCTATCTATGATTACACTAGTCTTGGACCTCATTTTTATTCATTTATTCAAGTCATCTTGCATTTTAATAATGTTTAAAGCTTGAGTAACTTATAAATAGGAAAAAAAACAACCCTGAATTGATGCAGTAACAGAAATTATTTCCAACTTGTTAAAAAGATTCCTCTACAATTGTGAAGAGAATGAGTACAAAAAGCACTTTGGTCCCATACCTTCTCCTCCCTCTACCCACTCAAAAATCCCTTTAAATATAAACTCCAGATCATGTTTCACACATTATTACACCCACACAACAGGATTAGTAATGAAAGAGCTTCTAGTCTAATAATAGACTTCTATATTATTGGTGAATATAGAAGTCTTCCATACCCAAATAGCAGAAATATTAATCAATTCATTTTATGAATTTGTCATTCTTTAGGTTTGATTGAAGCTTAAGCATTCTCAGATGTATAAGTATGAAAGTTCAACGAACTGCCAAAATGAAAAGACACATTGCTGATACAAATGCAGGGCCTGAATGTTTAATTGGCTCTCATACTGAACCTTATTGATCTACATAGACTGGATCCTGTTTATTGCTTCCAGTCTGTACTCATGCAAGTTATATTTGATAACAGTTCTGTGTATTTCAAGTATTTGTAATAAAACAATAACTTGTTCTGTAAACAGACAGATTAAATTTTAATTTAATCCAGCTAGGAAAAGCCATTATTTCCCCAACAGCATTGTTTATATGCACTGTTTTCAGATAATTCAGAAATAACACTGTAGCTTCAAAAGGCAGACAAATATAGGGAAGAAGAAGGTTTCTGTGGTACTATGAATACCACAAAATACCTTACAACTCTGACACTGACAACACAGTAATACAACAAAGCAGAACTCTATATATAGCAGAGGCTCACTCACATTGAGAGTATTTTATACACTCTGCCTAGAGATTTGGAAGTTCTCTGTAGCTACATATAAAGCCCCAGATTCCTAGAAAGCTAGTTTAAAGTTTAAAAGTTATTTAGCTAGGCTGTTGTACCATGAATCTTCAAGAAGATAGTTAGTACTTACTTAAATGCTGAACATTGCATTTGCTGAGTCAGATGTACTTGCCTCATTTTTAAACCTACTGCAGTACTGTTGTATTAGATTTCATACAAGCAACCACATTACTTCCATTAAATTCCAGAACACACAGTGTAGGGTCTGTTCCAAGCACCTGGACAACGACGAACATTTCAGTATAACTTGTGGGTTACAGGAATTTTTATTGGCCAGTGACTGTGGCAAAAGGTGAGCATAAACCTTTATCTTTGTGTAAAGTCCGCTGCTTCGTACAGGAATTTCACAGTAATGTACATTCAGACCTACATTTTTACTTATTTACTTAAAACTCCCTATGTGTAATACAACCTCCTGCATACTAGTGCCTACTAAATCAACACAACTTGAGTGTACCAGCAGGAGCACAGAGTTTCCAACACACAGGGCAGGATATTTCAAAAGGAAAATCAAGACATCTTAAATTCACACCTTCCAACAGAATCTAAGTTCGTTCTGCTTTAGGAAACCATGCAAAGCCCATCTGATACAAATTTGGAATTGTTTAACTACAGCCTAGAGTTCCTATTATTCTGCCACTTCGATAGCATATCTGCTTGAAGAGTAGCACCCTGACCTCCACAACTGATATGACAAGGTCTACCACACGTCAGATTCAAAATAACCTCTCAATAACAAACATCTTTGCCAGCAATATAATTCAGCTCACCGATCCTGAAGCTATAAACTAAAGAAGTCTTTCATAAATCAAGTCAAGAGAGATTGATCCAACAGTGGTAACAGAGAGATATATACATGCTGAGTGACTGGATAAAGACAAAGCAAACTGTTTTAGAAACAAACTTACCAGATTCAACGTAAGAGGCCACACAAATATTCAAAATTACATTTAGGTTTCTAAGTTTAGAACTTAATTTCACCAAAACCACAAAAAGGTGGTCACACATCATTTAATATAAAAAGCGTGATGCTTACCCAAACAGATTTTGAGGAAATATCAATTTTAAAGAGTGATTATAAACTAGCAGGAGGCAGTCATGTCTATTTATTATTTTTTCCTCCCCGTGTAATTAAAAAACTTTTAATCAAACCCTCAACAGTACCCATCCAATCACAGATTGCATTTTCCAGACTGTTAAGTGCACAGGACCACTTCCAAGTTTTACGGCAAGAGTCATTAGGCACTCTCTACGTCATGTTTCAGCTTCTACACTCTATGGTATCTTATTTTGAAAATAAGAATATTTGAGAAAGTTTGATTGCATTAAATTACTGACCAAGTCTGTTAACAAGTCTTTAACTTGCTCAAAACTTCCATGGAAGAAGGGTGAATTTGGGAGTTGTACATTGTGAGAGTAGAGTACAATACATTATCTTCAAAACATGAAAAGTCATCTCTAGTCAAGGCTTGTCCCTTTTCCCAAGTCATAAATTATCAGATAAAGAAGTTGCAAAATTTCAGCTTGGGATTTAGAATGAATGCAAATACATCCTTTATAAAGCACACACCTATTCTACCCCTGATTCTAATTAAGAATGCACCGACTGAACATGTCAATCTCAGGTGTCATCAGTAATCCTGTAATAAAGTCTTTTTTAGACTGCATTAGTATCTGGAATTATTTTCAAGTGATCTAGATTGTGATAACAAGCTGTGTAGTCAGAAAGATTAAAAAATTAAACCAGCTATTATCAAGAAACAAAACTAAAAGTTATTACACAAGAATCCAAAACCATTTCACAAAATAAAATCTAAAGTCTTTTCTAGGAGAAATCCATTAAAAATTTGCTTTGGCTGCCTTAAATGTATATGCAGTTAAACTTTTAAAAACCAAGGTTAACACAAGTACCAAAAAAATAAATAGGAAAGGGGGTGGAGGCGGGAAGAGAGAAGACAGCAACTTGTGCAACCCACCGGTGACCTGCAAAGCATAATTTCATTCTGCTCCCTTTTCCCTGCTCTGCACACACTCAGGAGAAGCAGCAGCAGGCCAGCTCTCTGCTGCAGCATCAGGGTCAGGTAAGGATTGCAGCAGAGGAGGAAGAGAAGACTGCCATTGCATTCAGTAAGCATTTTGCCGTTTTTCTCTCCTCCAAGCCATTACTTAGAATTATGCAGCTACTCAACTCTGTATTCCACTTCCACCTCAATTAATGATGCAAAAGAGGCAAGATACTTGTTTCCCCATTGCAAAATGCATGCACCTATAGAAAGACAGAGAGAAAGCAGACCCTGGCAAGGACTCCCAGCACACCTAACACTCTTAAAACTATACAGATCATGAAGCCAACTATTGTATCATTCTTTACACAACATACGGTTTTCAATTACTACAAAGGCAGGCAATGACACTTGCACGTGCCTTGAACAGACAGATGAGAAGACATTACAGTAACTTTTAGACTACATCAAAAGACTTGGGGGCATGGGGAGTAAGAGTGGTTATATGTGAGTCAAACTGATTAAGTGCTTGTGCTCTGCGATACCCCACAAGCTAGTTTAAGATCGTATGCTATAAAGCAGTTTACGAAATGACAGCCATAAGCACCACCAGAGGAAACAGCATCAGCACAACACACCACCAGCAGAGTCACCCAAATTCACCTTTCTTCCATGGAAGTTCTGAGCACTTTAAAAGATGGTACTAGAGAATATCAGGAAGCATGGGAAGGTAATACCCACTGCCAGCAGTTAGCCTGAGAAGAGGGTTTCA